ACCAAGCAGACCAAACCCTCCAAACAGGGTTTTTGACTTCCCTATCACCAAGTCAGCTCAAACCCGTCTGTCACCCTTCCTTCATACTTGGTGTTACATCACCTCGGACAAATGGGTGCTGTCCATCTTGACCCGAGGCTACCAAATCCAGTTCCACCAGAACCCCATTACTCCTGTCGTTGTCTCCACGCCCCCTTTCCCACCTCTCCTGGAGGAGGTGTCTGTCCTTCTGCAGAAGGGAGCCATCGAGCATGTACCAACACACCTCCAAGGGACGGGATTTTATTCCCGATACTTCACAGTTCCGAAGCGGGATGGAGGTGTTCGACCCATATTAGATCTAAGGGAGCTGAACTGTTTTGTGACCTACTACCACTTCTGCATGGTGTCCTTACAACAGATCATGCTGCTTCTTCGGAGACACATCTGGATGGCCACCGTCGACCTCCAAGACGTGTACTTCCACCTCACCATCCACCCCTCACACCGCCAATACCTACGCTTCGCGATTGGTTGACAGCATTACCAGTATGCAGCCCTACCAGTATGCAGCCCTACCATTCGGCCTCTCCAGCGCCCCAAGAGTCTTCACAAAGACTATGATTGTGGTTGCGGCTTTCCTCTGTCTCCGGGGTATCTCCATCTACCCCTATATCGGCGATTGGCTTCTGGTAGTGCCTTCCAAGATCTCGAACATCACAGAGACTCTGGCACTTTTGGAGAATCTGGGCCTACAGGTCAATCGACAAAAGTCTCAATTGCGTCCGGTCCAGAGGATAAAGTACATCGGCGCTATACTGGATTCCAAAACATGCATGGCTTACCTGCCTCACGACAGGGCGGCAGAAATCATTTCTTTAGCCACTGTTGTCCGTACCCAGCCTTCTGTCACTGCCTTCCAAATTCAGAGGCTGCTCGGCCTTATGGCTGCAACTATGTCGGTTCTCGTCTTTGCCAGACTGAAAATGCGACCTTTACAGCTCTGGTTTATTCACAAGTACGACCTGACGAAAAACGCACACACCGTCCTCCTATCCCCTCTTCCCAACATATGAGACTCTTTACTTTGGTGGACTGTCCCTTCCAATCTCCTCCAGGGAGCACCCTTCCATCCTCCATCACCCCAAATCACCCTGACCACAGATGCTTCCCTGTCAGGCTGGGATGCACACATGATGGGTCTCTGTGTCGGAGGCAAGTGGGATACCCACGTGCAAGGTTGGCACATAAACTTCCTGGAACTGCTGGCAATACAGTTCGCTGTCACGAGTTTCCTACCAATGGTCGAGGGGAAATATGTTACGGTCCTCACGGACAACACCACTGCACTCAGTTATATCAACAAACAAGGAGGCACGGTCTCCCTACGTCTCTACAACCTTGCCATCCAGTTATGGGACCTTTGCATCGCCCATGATGTCTTCTTGATAGCCACGCACATCCCAGGACACATGAATGTGCAGGCAGACCATCTAAGCCAAGCAGGGCTCAGTCTCCATGAATGGGAAATGAACCCAACCTACCTGTTACCACTCTTCCGCAGGTGGGGAGCTCCCCAAGTCGACGTTTTCGCCACCAGAGAGAACAAAGTGTTCTCTGTTCTGCAGCCGAGGAGGCAGAGACCCACAATCTCTGGGAGACGGTCTCATCTACCCGTCTCTTCTCTACCTCTTACCTCTGCTTCCCCTACTCCTGAGAGTAGTACGCAAGATCATCAGCGACGGAGTGGACTGTATCTTGATAACCCCGTGGTGGCCAAGACAGCCGTGGTTCTCGACCATCCTAGACCTGTCGGCAGGAGTATACCACCAATTCCCTCCGGCACAGGACCTCCTTTTCCTGTCCAACTCCCCTCTCCTGTACCATGACGTAACACGTATGAAACTGATGGCGTGGAGAATAACGTCAACAACTTTTCCACATGCGTAGCAAATGTTCTGCTAAACGCCAGAAAGCCTACTACGCGGAAATCCTACCATTACAAATGGCAAAGATTTTGCCACTACTTGGGTGACAATGCCCCTCAAGCTGCCTCCGCAGGCTCCCACTTATCGTTACGAGTTTCTTTGGCCGACCTTTCAGCCTACCATGTTCAAGTTGACGGATGCACACTGTTTTCCCATCCGCTTTCAAAACTTTTTAAAAAGGTTTATTGCATCTCTACCCTCCTGTCAAAAATCCTGTCGTTCCCTGGGACCTTCCTCTAGTTCTTCGCCAGCTCACGAGGAAACCCTTTGAGCCACTCGCAAATTGAAATATGAAATGTCTGTCGTGGAAGACGGCCTTTCTGGTTGCTGTCACCTCTGCAAGGCGGCTTTCAGGCATGACACACCATACTTGTCGTTTTTGCCAGACGGCGTCCGCCTCGTACCTGACATCTCATTCCTGCCAAAGGTAGTGTCAGAATTCCACCTCCCAGATTTCTTCCTGGCTCCGACATCCTCAGAGGACAGACTGTTACACACCTTGGATGTGAAGCGTGCGCTCCTGTTCTACCTGAACAGAACCTGCCCAACAAGACGTGACTCCCAACTATTCGTCTTGTACGCACCATCAAGGCTGGGGACTCGCATCATGGCTCAGCGCCTCTCAAGGTGGATTGCGGGTCTCATCTGCCTCTGTTACCTGATCGCCAAACAGCCATTGCCCGGCCCTATCAGGGCCCATTCAACCCGAGCTGTTGCTACTTCCACTGCCTTCCTCCAGGGAGTGCCTCTGATGGACATTTGCAAAACCACTACACCTTTATCAGGCACTACACCCTAGACGTCCACAAAAACTCTAATACCAACATGGGTCGCATTTATTTATTTATTTATTTTTATTTATACCCCGCCCTCCCCGCACGCGGGCTCAGGGCGGCTTACAATATACGGGTGTAATACACCGTCGTTCAACAGTAAAGGCACACAGTGCAGTAAAAACACAATAAAACATTTTAAAACAGTTAAATACAGATTAATTACAGTGGGCAATGCCCAAGGATCCCGCGTGACTGACCCCCTCTACCCCTATTGCGCATACCCTTGAGTCACAAAGGGAGGATGCTGTGGCCCCAGTATTCATTGGCCAATCGGCCACATCCAGCGGTGCTGCTGTATAGGCCCGTTGGTGGTAATAGTGGCGGCAGTGGCTCCTATTTGTGGCGGCAGGGCCCTGATCTCCTCCGGGAGCTTGTTCCACCAGATAGGAGCAGCCACCAAGAAGGACCTGGCCCTTGTGGCCGCAAGCCTGGCCTCTTTGGGGCCCGGGGTCGCAAGGCGATGTTGAGACCCCGACCGAAGTGCTCTTTGGGACCTATATGGGGAAAGGCGGTCCCTCAGGTATGCCGGACCCTGGCCATGTAGGGCTTTAAAGGTAAGCACCAGCACTGTGAATTGAAGTGGATCCGGAATGCTATAGGCAGCCAGTGCAGCGCTTTCAGCACAGGCTGGATGTGGTCCCACTCCGAGACACCAGCAACCAGCCTGGCCGCCGCATTCTGCACTAGCTGCAGCCTCGGAATCTGCGACAAAGGCAGCCCCATGTAGAGAGCGTTGCAGTAGTCTAGCCTCGAGGTGACTGTTGCGTGGACCGTCGCATTCTGTCTTCGGCTACGCAGTAAAGGACCTGCCAGCACCCTCCTCCAGGTAGGCCACTGCTCGCTAATCTCCCATGGGTGTGAAGCACAGATAGGGTTGCCAGATCTTTTTTAGCTGGCGGCGGGGGGCTCCTGCCCGGCGTCTTGAGTGCGTGCACACGCGCTTTGCGCGTGCACGCCACCCAGATGTGGCGTCATGACGTCACATCCGGGCGGCGTGCGCACAGGGGTGGGGTTTCCCCCGGGGCCCGATTTCACGGGGGTGGAAATCGGGCCTCCAAAGTGGGGGGAAATCCGCCCCCCAGGGGGACTTGGCAACCCTAAGCACAGAGACCACATCGAAGATAAACAGGTTGCTGACCTGTAACTGGTGATCTCGAGTGGTCATCTGTGCATTCACACCACCCACCCTCCTTCCCCGCTGCTGTCAGCTTCTACATTTTCCATAGGGGTTGATTTGCGGCGGTTTGAAGGAACTGGCGGGATGTCTGCGCCCTCCCCTCTGGGCGTGCGCGGTGGGGTTCCTGCGCATGCCCAAGGTCTGTGTGCAAAAATCCGTTAAAGAGCTTGCTACAATGCCGATGCGCACTGAATCCCATGGGTGTGAATGCAGAGATGACCACTCGAAGATCACCAGTTACAGGTAAGCAACCTGGGCTTTTTTGTTTGTGGGGTGACTGTATTATTTTATTTCTCTGTTCTGCTCTTTACATGAAGCTTTAGATGGAAACTGCTTTAGAAACCACAAGTTGTTAGGCAGGCCGGGGCTGAGGCACAATCATTTAAAATAAATACACCAACCCTGAGGGAGGACCAGCAGAAACACCTCACCCCAGAACACACACACCCCCCCCAAGAGAAGGGGGTTGTTTTGGATGGCGAAATCGTCAGCTCCGTCGCCAAAAAACGGAGTGTACATATGCGTGTGGTATACTTTAGTTCTGAACAAGAGCCCTAAGGCCTTCCCGTCTCTCTAGGGGACAAGTTACTACGGCAACGGGACTGGGCAGGAAAGTCCCGGTTTGAGGCCTAGGAGGAAGCTGCCTCCGAGGAATAGGCACCAGGTTTACTTTCCTCATTACGATAGCTGAATCACTGCAACGTCCCGCTTTCCCAAGGGCTACCCACCTGAATCTTACCCAAGGGTAAACACGAACTCTATGAAATTCGCACTACACTTTTGGTTCTGAATTGACGGCGCATAGATACGCTTCTGCCCCGCACGTGGCGCTATTCAAACGGCAACCGGAAGCGCCGTCTCCATATTAAAAAACGTTCGTATTTCCCCCCTCTTCCGGGGGGGGGGGAAGAGATATCCGGACAGCAACACCGTCTCCGGTCACGTATTATGAGAGGCGGGGCTCTGGTCCGTTTCCGGCGGAAACGATAAAGCTAGCGGAAGCCTAGAGTGGAACGCTAGCAGACGCAGCAAAAGGATTGAGGGGGAAGTTTTTAGAGGGGGGACCTATCTCCGGTGTGTGGAGAAGGCGGGAATGGCGGAGTCAACGAATGAAGATTTGGAATCTCTGCCCCGCGGGGGCTTTCGGTGTCGCCTCTGTCACGTGACAGTAGCCAATAGTGAGTGGAGTCAGAGGTCAAGGGGTGGGGTTTACGGGGGGGAGGCTTGCTGCGCTAATTACTTTTATTTGTGGGATGCTTGATTTATTAAGAAGAAGAAGAGCTCGCGTGGAAGTCGCAGCTAAGAGCTCTAGTGAATGTAGGAGATGGCTGTGGTTACTCAGTAGGAAAGGCACTTTGTACATTCTCAGAGGCACTCTCGTTATTCTGGCTTTTCCTAGGCTGAGCCCCGCTCGAATTTAGGTTCCATGCATTGTGATTACAGTATGATTGCAATTTCCAACAAACGGGAACTCCGTAGCGCCTAAGAGACTTTACAAGTGTTTATATTACCATTAAGCATTTGTAAAGGAAAACCACGGCCTTCAGTTTTCAAGACCTGATAGGACGTTTTGGAGGGCATTAATTTATAGTGTCGTCGTAAACCGGAATTGACTTAGCGCACAACACAAGCTTTCAGAAACCAGACTTGCGTCGAATTTCCGCCAGTGTTTTCACAGATGAAAATAGGCAAGCATTTGTGGTATCACTAGTCACATGCCGTTTGTTCAGGGCCTACCACCATTGTGCATTGCTAAAGGCTTCTGCTCTGCCTCTGTCTGCTGCAATAGCAGCAATGAAAATGTACCTCAGCAGGGTGTGAAATGGCAGGTTCTCTGCTTCCTGGCGCCTCAGTGTTCATGTTGACGCCTTTACAGGGATTCACGCAAGAGACAAGACACATTTAGTCACCTGTTCAGAGAGAACCCCAAGTTGCCTTGCGGGAACAGATGAACCAGTGGAAGAATGGCCATGCCAATAATTCACACATAACTTCACAAAGGCAAAAATAGTGACTTAGCATCGATGGGGACCAACAATAAAGACAGAGACCATGGCTGCGGTCACACGGAGCATAAGCCACGCTACAGAGACAGAAGAGAGGCGGAGTTTCCTGGCGCGATCACATGGCAACATCTGGCAAGTGTAGAGCTCCCGTCGCTAACCCGTGCCTAAACGCCAAAACAGCGGAGTAAAAAACTAGTACCTCGGAGGTACTAGTTTCCGGAAACAGCGGGGCAAAGGGTGGGCGTCTGATCGCATTTCCGGAGGTAGTTCCGGCACCCGCCCATGTCCCCTAGCTCCACGGATGCGCCAAAGCAACCAACGGAGCATGCACAAACGTTAGTTTAATAAAAAAAACAACCCACACAACTTAAGTCGTGCAGAGAAGAGGAGAGCAGCCTGAAGAAAGCCACAAAGAGCGCACGGCTTGAGGCGAGCAACAAATAGATAGGGGGAAAGGGGACAAGGCAGCAGATACAGCGGCTGAGATGAAGCCCAGAAGAGGGGGGCGCGGTGGCAGATTAGGAAGTCTCCTTGGGGAAGGGGCGGTCAGGGCGGAGGGGGCTGAGCCATGCTGCTTTGCCCTCTTCGCGCGCCCCACCAGCCGGCTCCCCGGACTGTTGCCCTTCCAGAACTACTGCCCACCCCCTGCCTGCCTCACTGGTGGGGAAAACACCAAGCCCGACACGATGCCACACCACCCAGTCGCCAGCTGGCCCCTCCTCTCCCCAGCGCCGCTTGGCCAGCTGTCTCTGGCAGCCCCCTCCTTGCCTTCCCTCGTGCGCGGCCCCCGCTTCTTTGCCCCAAGGCCCCACTTCTGTGTGATCCGCACCTCTCCCTAACCACGGGACCTCCATGGAATCTCCACGGGACCTCCATGGGAGGTCTGATCGCCCAACCGCGCTTTAGTTTTCCCCGGGGCAAACAGGCAGGATGAAGGTTTTGATTGCATGGGGAAAGTTTTACCTTTTGCATTTTCCTGTGTTACACACACAAAATTTCTGAACCAATCCTAGATCACACAGCTATCAGGATCCTGTCTCTGATTTTAAAATAGTTTCTTAAGCACCCTTCAGCATCCTTGATTTTCATTGTTCTCTTCCTAAGCTTGTCTGTGCCAAGCTCACTACGGGCCAGATGAAAGCTACTTAACTTGGGAAATCTGTTGAGCAAACAACTAAAATAGGAAGGATCTGGTCCAGCACAGAAAAAAGCAAATACTATGCAATGCGTATTTAAACTGGACTTTAAAAGTCTGCCATAGACTTTTGCTGAGTGATCTTGTCCCATGCACTCCTTCTCAGCCTGACCTACCTCAAGGTTATGATGGTGCAGTGGAGGAGTGGAGACCAGTATTCCCCCCTCCCCCAAGCTCCCTGAAGGAAAGGTTGGATAAAAAAATGAATGAGTTTGTGTAGGAAGGAAAGACTGTCGACCACTTTTAGCCATAGCACCTGAATGGAACCTCCACGTACAGAGGTGGTATACTTCTAAATACCAGATGTTGAGGACAAATCACAGGGATAAGACTGTTGCCCTTGTCTTGTTGCTTGTGGCTTCTGGTCAGTAGCAGTCGAAAACAGAATGCTGAGCTAGATGGGCCTTTGATCTGATCCAGGAGAATTCTTATATTAAGCAGGAACACATGCCTGTTTTTCTTGGGCTGTGACTACTTTCCTTTCCAATTGCATCCCCCCCCCCCAAGTCTGCATATGGAGCAGTGGTATTGTAAAAGTGTCCTCATGCAGGTAAAATCGGATTACTTCTCTTTTATATCCTTTCCAGTTTGTTAATGTTTTCCCTGGATTGCTGTACCCAGAACTTCACAAGGCACTCCAAGTGCAGCCTTAAATGGTTTATGAAAAGGGTTTCTCTTCCTTGAATTTGAAAGGTAGGGTAGGCTATCAGTAGGAAGAGAACATTTTCAGCCTTGTGCTTCCTGTTTCCAAGTTGTCGCTGAAGAGCCTTGGTTTTATACTGCAGAACCCAGCCTGGATGATCACCTCCGGGGGAAGAAACACCAGCGTCTGGAAAGCCTCCGCTCCATTCGCCAGGCCCAAGAGCTTCGCAGTGTTTTTGTCAGTGGCTTCCACAAAGGGACGCCAGCCTCAGAGCTGAGTGACTACTTCCAAGCCTATGGGGAGGTCATCAATGTGGTGATGGACAAGGATAAGGTGAACTGACATATGCCATTTGATACACCATAGTTTTAGGAGACAGGGAGGAGAAGGCATAATAGGACTGGAAGCCTGCCATATTCCCAGAGATTAGGGTGAGCTGAATGCTACTGAGGCTGAATTTTCCATTGTGATGGTCCAGGAACAACAGTTACTCCCCTTGGTCAAGCTGAAATACACCCCCCATTTGTTTACTTCCAGATGCTACCTTTAGAGTGAAGTCCCAAGCAGAGTTATACCTTTTAAAATCCAATTAAGGTGAATAGACCCAAGTCGGATGCTGAGTAGACCTGTTTGGGATTGTGCTGTCCTTACCTACTGCAATTACACAAAGGGGATGAGGCAGATCTAACCTCCATGAAACTATCAGTGGCTACTGGCCAGGGTGACAGGGGAACCTCTACATTCAGAGGCACTGAACTTCTGAATCCAAGAGCCAGGAGGAAACATCAGGGGAAGGTCTCAGTCTGTTGGCCCTCCAGAGGAACTGGCTGACCACTGGGTGAGACAGGACACTGGACTAGATGGGCCACTGGTCTGATCCAGCAGGGCTGCTCTTATGTAAAAGCTCAGAGGCTACATAGGAGGGTGTTTTTTTAATATTAGTTGTTGAAGATTTTCACAGAATAAAAAGGCACATCAGAACATTTCCAAAGTAATCTATATAATGTTGAACTAATCTCATCCTGAAAGTAGAGTTTTAGTTTAATTTATTTGGTAGCTGACAGCCTGTGAGGAATTGCAGGGTGGGGGGGAGAACATTTTTGGAAATCTCGCCCTCCAGGAGTCATTGAAGCTAAACCCTAAACAGTTGTTTTACTGGCTCTGTCCGTCATATTGTCAAGACACAAGCCCTGCATACAACTGAGCAAATATCCCCCTGTTCTGCCCTACCCCTACATTGGCGGCAGCAGGAAGAGGTTGGGATGGTGCAGTCCAGAAGCTGATGTTTTACTTCCTTCTTTTGTGTCTTGGGCCACCAGGGTGTTTATGCCATTGTGGAGCTGCAGGACGGGGAGGTGCTGGAGAAGGTGCTGGCCCAGACCCAGCACACTCTGGGGGGTCAGAAGCTGCGTGTCAAGCCACGGGAGAAGAAAGATTTCAAATACACCCCGCCCAGGAAGCAGGGGTCTGCCAAGCGAGGGCAGCTGAGCCCCGAGAAGTTAGCAGAAGAACTGTGCCAAGCCGATGATGTGAGTGAATTCTGCTTTGTGTATTTCTGACAACCATGTGGAAGGACCAATGGGGAGGGGCCCTGCCTCAGTGGCCCAGCATCTACTTGGCATGCAGGAGGTCCCAGGTTCAATCCCTGGCATCTCCAGTTAGAACGATCTGCCAGTAGATGATGGGAAAGGCCTCTGCTGGAGGCCCTGGAGAGCCTCTGCCAGACTGAGTAGACAGTGCTGGCTTCAATAGGCCAAGGGCCTGACTCAGAATTAGGCAGCTTCATGTGTTCAACCAGTCTGAGTAAGATGGATCAATGGGAGTGCCAGCCACTGAAAACGATTTGACACAGGTGGTCTCCCCCCAACAGGTGGATGCCCAGATGGCTCTGCTGGTGCAGCTCTTTGAGTTTTCAGAGGGTGAACGGCGTCTTCGGGATTTGCTGGTCACTCTCTTCCAGGAGGTATTCTTAGAGTTTTTCCCTGGTGAGTTCTTTCCCACTCTTGAGCTCTTTCCCCCAATCCGCAGCTCTGATCTTGAACTAACTTCCTATGACTTATTCTTCTCCCTGTGTTCAGGGAGCCAGTTTGGTGTAGTGGTTAAGTGGGCGGACTCTAATCTGGGAGAACCGGGTTTGATTCCCCACTCCTCCAATTGCAGCTGCTGGATGACCTTGGGCAAGCCATAGTTCCGACAGAGCTGTTCTTGAATGAGCAGTTTCTGTCAGAGCTCTCTCAGCCCCACCTACCTCACAGGGTGTCTGTTGTGGGGAGGGGAAGGAGCTTGTAAGTCGCTCTGAGACTCCGAGTGAAGGGCGGGGTATAAATCCAATCTCTTCTTCTTCATCCATCCAGGCTCTGCCATTCTTCCTTTTGGCTCCTCGGTGAATGGCTTTGATGTCTCCGGATGTGACCTGGATTTGTTCCTAGACCTTGAGAAGACCAAAAAATTCCAAGCATCTGCCAAGAGTCCTACTGAGACCCCGGTGAGAGAGCAGGTGGGGAAGAGGGCTGGGGATACGTGGCACTGGTGGAGTTACTAACATGCCCTTTAACCATTTCTTGGGTTCCTTAGTCTGTGATCCGAAACACATTGACTTGGAAGCAAGTGCCATTCAGTCTATGGGACATAATTCCAAGGTGGTCTTCTCACAATGGGGATGTCAGTTTTCTCGTTAGACTTGGCCGCGAATTCAGTTTTTCAATCCAGTTATTAAAAACTTGAACCTACCGACATATGGGGACTCCTATACAAAGATACACTTTTTTAAAGTGTTCTTAATAACACCAAAGGAATAACTTAAGAGTGGTAACTTAAAGCACAAGGGAGGAAAGAAATGGGGAAAGGGGGGAGAGCCAGCATGCTGTAGTGGCTGGAGGGCTGGACTCAGACAATGCAGACGTGGGTTCAAATCCCCACTTCGGCATGAAGTTCACCGAAGAAGAGATTGGATTTATCCTCCGCCCTTCATTACCCAAAAGAATCTCGGAACGGCTTACAATCTCTCTTCCCCTTCCCCTCCACAGGCACCCTGTGAGGCAGGTGGGGCTGAGAGAGCTCTTTGAGAATTGCTCTTGAAAGAATAGCTCTGAAAGAACTTGTGACTGACCCAAGGTCACACCAGCAGCTGCACGTGGATGAGTTGGGAATCAAACTCAGTTCTCCCAGGTTAAAGTCCGCGCTCCCAACCACTATACCAAACTGGCTCTCAGGTGACCTTTGGTGACTTACGGATCTCTGAGGCTATCTCATGGGATGGCGGTGAGGATAAAATGGGGCAGGGACTGTTGGTTGGGTCCCACCGTTAATTCCTGTGTGCACAGGGGGAATTTTCACTCGTTATGAGGCTGCCCTTGAGAAGTATTTGGAAACTTCAGTTGGTGCAGAATGCTGCAGCCAGTGTTGACTGGAGTAATATATCATACCAGTTTCAGCCCGTCTCTAGACTGGCTCTCAGTCTGTTTCCAGGATCAATTCAGGGTGCTGTTTTTGACCTTTAAAGGCTTGAGACCAGCATACCTGAAGAACCGCCTACTCCCTTGAGAACATACCTGATCATGGGTGGCAAACCAGAAGACAGTTTTCTCGGACGTAGCAGCAAAATTCTGGAACTGCCCTGTCCCCTTCTGTTGCCATCTTCCACCAGTGTAGCGATGCCAACCTCCAGGTGGGACCCTGGGATCCCCCAGAATTACAGCTCATCTCCAGACTACAGGCATCAGTACCCCTGGAGATGGACACGTTGGAGGGCAGACTCTATGCCTTGTAACGCATAGAGATCCCTGTCCTCTCCAGGCTCCACTCCTAAATCTCCAGGAGGTTCCCAACTTACAGCTGGCAACCCCCCATAGGTGGCTAGGAGGGACCAGGCAACCCTACACCAGTGGGTGAAGGCTTTTTTTATTTCGTCTGGCATTCTCTCAGTGATCTCTGGTTCTTGTCCTCTGTTTCAATAGTTGTTTTTATGTTTTTGTATGTGTCTTTAGCTTGATTGTGATGATGGCCATAATGGTTTTTAATATGTGTTTTTGGCGTGTCTGTTTTTAACCCGTTAGCTGCCCCGATGAAGGCAGGTGGATACAAAATTTTGTAAATAAACAAATATTGAGCTAGGTGGGCTTAAAAAAGCTTAATGTCTTCCAAATGTATTCCCCACCCGCCCTTTCTCCTTCAGGCCAAGGATGGGGCCAGCCCTGAGCCGGATGCATGCTCTGAGGATTCGATCTTGAGTGACATCGACCTGGCTTCAGCCACTGTGCCTGAGGTACTCGAGCTGGTTGCCACCGTGCTGCGGAAGTGCGTCCCGGGTGTCCATCACGTCCAGGTTGTGCCAAATGCTCGTCGTCCGGTTGTCAAATTCTGCCACAAGGAGTCCGGCTTGCGTGGGGACATCTCCATCGATAACAAGTATGGTGTGTTGTGCATCGCCTTAGCAATACTGACACAGGGACTTTGTAGAAAGATAACCTGCTCTGTTTCTTCCTCATGTAGGGAGCGGGTGGACTCTCCACTTCCCTCTCACTCCTGTTTTCTAGGCCCTGCCCATTCCTGCCCCCCCCCCCATGGGAGACTGGACCTCTTATTCATTAGACTGATTTGCCAGTCCCTAGGGTTGCAGAGGGGGCCGCGGTGGCTCAGAGGTTAATACGCTGAGCTGCAGACCAGAAGGTCTGTAGCTCAGCAGTTCGAGACCCTAGAGCCACTTGATGCAGTGAGCTCCCGTCTCTGGCCCCAGCTCCTGCCAACCTAGCAGTTTGAAAGCAAGAAATTGCACAAATAGGTACCGCTTCGTTGGGCAGGTAACAGTGTTCTGTGCGCCTCAGCGATTAGTCATGCCCTTTGGACGGCGCTGGTTCGGCTTGGAAACGGAGATTAGCACCGCCCCCTAGAGTCGGATTTGACTGGCTTTTGAGCAAAGGAAACCTTTACCTTTAAGGTTGCAGAGGCTTTCTGATAGCAGCCACTCTCCCCCTGCATACAGAGACTTATACTGATGCAAAAGGCTTTGGGGGGGGAATGGAATAGCTAAACATATGGATGTGCCAGGGAAGAAACGGAAGTCTGTGTGTCGCGCTCTCTTGACTTATCACTGGGTTGTCTCCTTGACAGGCTGGCGCTCCGCAATACGCGCTTCCTGCAGCTTTGCACCGAGACAGACGAGCGGGTGAGGCCGTTGGTTTATGCCGTGCGCCACTGGGCAAAGCAACAGGCATTGGCAGGTAAAGTGGAGGAGTAAGGGCCTGGAGACCCCAGGCAGAAAATCCAAACAGTGTCCCTTGTGCACAGACTAACGTGGGGCACCCTTCACCGGGGAGGTCTCCTGCTGAGGCCCCCTCTGAAATGAATGGGAGGGGCAAAAAGGCGCAGTCATGATTTGAATGCTGAACTTTAGCTGGGCAAGTTCAGGCATATGAAGCGGCTTTAGAGTCAGACTTCTGGTCTGTGTAGTCCTGTGGCAGAGAACTCACTGAAGATGTCGACTCAGTGTGCGACTACAATAAAAAAGGCAATTGCTATACTGGGGATTATTAGGAAGGGGACTGAAAACCAATCAGCCAGCTATATAATGCCCCTGTATAAATCTATGGTGCAGCCTCATTTGGAATACTGTGTATAGTTCTGGTCAGCACACCTCAAGAAAGAGATAGCATTGGAAAAGGGCAACTAAAATGAGTAAGGAGATCGAACACCTTCCCTATGAAAAACAGTTAGGGCTCTTTAGCTTGGAGAAACAATGATTGAGGGGTGACATGATAAGAAGTTTACAGAATTATGCATGGGCTAGAGAAGGTAGAGAAAGAAGCACTTTTCTCTCTCTTTCACAATACAGGAACTCGTGGGCACTCAATTAAATTGAGGAGCAGTAGGTTTAGAACAGATAAAAGGAAGCATTCTTCACCCAGAGAGTAATTAACACGTGGAATTCACTGCCACAGGAAGTGGTGGCCACAAGCATAAACAGCTTCAAGAGGGGATGGGGTAAACGTATGGAACAGAGGTCCATGGCTATTAGCCAGAAGGTACAGATGGAACACTGTAGGGATAAGAAGGGCCTCTGCTTGAGATCCAGAGGAGCCACTGCCTGAACAGAACATAAGCGAAGCCATGACGGATCAGGCCAATAGCCCATCCAGTCCAACGGCTGAGGGGTGATATGATCAAGGTTTATAAGATTATGCATGAGATAGAGCAGGTAGAGAAAGAGGTACTTTTCTCCCTTACAAGAACTCGTGGTCACTCCATGAAATTGCTGAGTGGTCAGGTTAGAACAGATAAAAGGAAGTAGGCTAATAGCCACTGATGGACCTCTGCTCCATATGCTTATCTAATTCCCTTTTGAAGCCGTCCATGCTTGTAGCTGCCACCACTTCCTGTGGCAGTGAATTCCAAGTGTTAATCACTCTTTGGGTGTACTTCCTTTTATCCGTTCTAACCCGACCGCTCAGCAATTTCATGGAGTGCCCACGAGTTCTTGTATTGTGAGAAAGGGAGAAAAGTACCTCTTTCTCTACCTGCTCTATCCCATGCATAATCTTGTAAACCTCGATCATGTCACCCCTCAGCCGTTGGACTGGATGGGCTATTGGCCTGCTCTATCATGGCTTCGCTTATGTTCTGTTCAGGCAGTGGCTCCTCTGGATCTCAAGCAGAGGCCCTTCTTATCCCTACTACTTAAGACTTCTTGTTTTGATGAAATTTGATCCTTACTAATAAAGCCTTCTGTGTACATCATGCTTTACTCCAGACAACAGAGCCCTGCTCCAAGGAGTTTACCACAGCGAAGACAATAAAGGGAAGGGCAAGAGGTGGAACAGCAACAGACTCTGGAAGAATCTGCATTTGTTCCGGTTGAGAAGGAGGAATAAGGGGCATGCCAAGGGGCTCTGTGGGAAAAGTTGAGGGATTGGAAGGAAGAAAGAGAGAGAGAGGTGGAATCACTCAGGTGTTTGGAGAGGCAGTTACTGGAATAAGGGCCAGCCAGGGAAAAGGGGTGGAGTCACTTGAGGGAGCAGGACAGGTGAGCATAATGGAGCCAGATGGACAAAAGATAGAGGCTTGCAAAGCATGCGTTCTGCTGCTGAGCTGTGGCTCCTCCCTTAGAACCTGTGTGGGGCTGTTGACTGCCTTCCAAGCTGTGTAGCTCTTTCCCAATCTTTATTAAAAAAAAAAAAAAAAAAAATTGGGAGTGCTGGGACTTGAACCTGGGATCTTCTACATGCAATAATACTTTACCGCAAAGCTTTGGCCCCTCTCTCCAAGTTTGCATTATTTATTTTTTTTGCAAGGATACAATGAGACAGTCCTCTGTGGGCCACGTGAAGCTACACATAGGAGGGCAGGAGAGGGCCTGTGGTTCTGGGAAAGAGCACTTGCCTGGCAGGGGCAGGGTTCGATTCCTTGCATCTCCCATGGTTTGAATGCAACCAGTGGGTCTGCCTCGAGACTTATGGTACCGACGGGTTAAAAACTCAGTTAAATGATCTGGGAAGGGGCTGTGACTTCGTGGAAGAGTTTCTGCTTGGCACGCAGAAGGTCC